GACAGTGGAAAGAACTTCCAGGGACTTATCTGGAGAAATGTTGAGGGGGGCGAATTCCTCATCAGATAACGAAGGAGTTTATTAGGAACCTCAGTCTCTTTTAAAATATACCCGATTGTTGACAGCCGGGAAGAAATATATCTAAGTACGGAGTTGCCTACATATATTAATTGTTGTGTTGAAGTTTTTTCCCTTTGTATTGAGGGGTATGGCGTCAATTACAAAATGTACCCTTGTATTTGTTGCACTAGGATGAAATAGCATATGATATCTGTCTGTTATTTTATACATGAAAGTATATAATCATTTGAAATTGATTTATTTTTTTTTTTAAATTTTAACACATTCTTTAAAACCTATTTTGTTTTTGTAAAAATATAAGAAATTCTTTGTTGTAAACTATGGGAAAAGTATCATGTTAGGTGTACTTACAGTTGGTGTACGGTGTTTTTTCTCGTCGTAATTGACATCCTAGTTATATTGGTATCTATCTTGACCCGATGGGTGAATACTGGTCAGAGGTTTGTCAGGGAAATTGTGTTCCTTTCCGTTCATTCCTAATTCCCCCGATTCGAGGGATGGCGACTGCAATTTTCTGCATTGCTTTACTCACATGAATTTGATTTTTTTCTGTTTCTTTTTTATTTACTCATCGTAGGAATAGAAGAAAATGACGCCTCTCTTAATGTAGGGATCGTGACGCGTTCGTTCCTTTGTTTCTTTTTTTTTTTTCTTTTTTAATTTAATTAAATGGGAATATTTCCTAATTTTCTATTTCCTACATTCTGTGGATTCTGCGCAGGTTATATTGTATGAGCGCCTCCTGTGAATACATTCGTTGCGGTTTCCCGGTCTCGTCTTGGAAGCCAGATATCAAATTTCCTGAAGGTGTTATTGTCACTACATAGTTTTCGAGACGTGCGCCCTTGTGTGATGTGCTTTGCCCTATAAAAAAGAGGCAGCAACAGTATTATCCACATGCTGTTGCTCCTTTTTCTCCACGTGTTTTATGGAATGAACCGCGGATGTAGCAAAGCGACTATATAGAGACTGATTCATATACGCAGTGTTCCTCAGGGCTGAGCGGCAGAATAATGCATATTCATTTTCAAGTCCCATGTTAGAAAAAAAAAAAATAGCGGGGAAGAACAGAATTATATGTAATATTAACAAGAGTGAATTCACTTAATATGACAGAAAAAAACAGAAGTGGACGAATATTCGTACATAAAATTAAACTGAAAATAAAGAAAAAAAGGAGATTGTACAGGGACAGATCTATTTGCGAATTTTACACATGAGCTTCGCGTGTATATCACAAGAATGTATCGAAGGAGTTACCATTTTCAGCCATGGGGCTACATTGGGGGCAACAGCGCGAATTATATTGTGCCGTCATTTTATGTTCTGTTTTAAAGAATTTTCTGCAAATCACATCCCCATTTGACTCGTTCGTCAATTTGGACTATCCTGTTTTGAACTGAGAGTTCCCAGTATGGATAACTCGGCCTCAATTGTGATATATATGCAGATGTGCGTATTCTGTTATAATTTCAAATTTATTCGTGCATTTTTGCAGCGCAGAACTCTTCTTATGCCATAAGATATAAAATTAGTTAATCTGCGGGAGCAGCAGAATTTAACGGTGGGAGATGAATTGACTCGGCATCGTTATCTATGGTCAGTCTTAGTGCGTCTACTCTCGATATCGGCTTTCTGGCTTCATGATATTTTTTTTTTATGGTACTTGGCAACGCGTATAAAATAAATTTTAATATATCCAACGAATCATATAACTCCTGTGACTGTTTTTATTTCTCTTGTATTAGTGTATGTATTCCTCACATTCCTGTAACCCATTATTCTGATCCTCCAAGCAATAATGTGGAATATCTTTCGTCTATCCATTCATGCAATTTTTGGATGGGTGTGTGCTTCCTTTATATTTCTACATTATTATGCAATCCGTGCCTCGGATAACTTGCGCATTAAAAATGTCGGTGTCATAATGCGCGTAATTTCCTCAGGCGCCAGAAAAATTATAATCATCAGGTAAATATCGCCTATATAATATAACACATGTTTATGGATTGATCTTCACTGCCTATGTGAAAATATAACCGAGGAATATAGGTTCTTTATGTATTTTCATCTCATTCTAATGAATGATTATCCTGTGCTGCAATTCCCATGGTACATTTGTTAGTATCCGTGTAACAGCGTAATGCTATAATGCGGGGTTTTATTGCTGTTTTATCATTTTACTGTGGATTTCGCAGCCACGATTTATATAGAAAGTAAATTGCCCCCTTAATTGGTAAAGTCAAGGATGGGATTATTTGGGTATGTCTTTTCCTTCCTGAAATATTTCTGCTAATCCTGCCATTGTTATAATCTAAGCACGAAACATGACTCATGGTTCCTCTTCCTTTTGAGAAATTTAGGACAATAACGTAGCATATGTCGGGTAGAATCGTTCTTATTATGTACTGTCTTCTTATGAATATTATAAATATTCCTTTACCTATGCCTGCATTGTTCTGTTTCTTCCATTTCTCCCAATGCCGTATTTATAAGGAAAAGTGTGGAAACCTTGTAACATTGTCATAAATGTTTATATTATCTAATAATGCACACAGT